AAGTAAAACAAAAAACAAATAGATAAAAATGTTCAACTTGTCTTTTATTTGAGACTGAATGTGAGAATGCATTTGTGAGATTGAAAAATTGAAAACACCCAGTGGGAAAAGGTAATGTCTGGGAATGCAAAAAGTAATAGATAGGATAGGGGCTCTATAGCCTACGCACGAAAATATGCAAGAATTTTTCTGCAGCGATGTCATAGGAAAGTAATGTGTCGCATGTTGCTTTACGAAACTATAAATATAATTAAAAATGAAAAGAAAAAATTAAGTCCGCGCCACAGGTTTTGAACCCGTGAGCAACAAATACGGCAGCCGAACACGCATCCATTCGGCTACAGCAGCTGTTGAAATAACGTGAACAAAAAACATACTTGAGTTAGTTTTCAAACTTTTTGTTTTGTTTGTCGCTTCAAAACTACACATCATCCGCTCGCTTACATTGCGATGCATCTTTTCATTCGACCGTAGTTGTTAATCTTTTCTTGGTGGAAAAACATAATGCATTCTCATTTTCCCATTTTGATTGCAGTTATTTAAATTTGCCTGCCAAACATAGCTTTATCTATTTGGAAGAATAATTAGAAATAATCAAGTAATTAAAAACAACCAAACAATTAAAAATAATCAAACAATTAAAAAATAATAATTTGATTAAATTAGACATTTTTAATTATTATTAACTATTAATTGCTGGGTTGTGTAAGAAAATTAAAATAATCGTTAAAATTAAAAAATTAAAAAAAAAATCATGATTACTATTCGTAATGGAAATTTAGCAGCTCTGGTTAGAAGTTATTCAGAATTAAACATTTCGCTGGTTATTGAAGATCGAATGTGAAATTGATATTATGAGCTATGCAACGGCGTCGAAATTTTCGTTGAGTATCGAATGTTCTGCCGAACAGGACTTTGCTTTCGATGTTGTAGCGAAGTGTGAGAAAATTTTAAAAAATGTATAATTTTGTGATTTTTTTTTTTTTACTTTTTGGTGGCTAGACACTAATTTTAAACAAGTTTTATTAATTTTATGCAGGTCTAAGGTCGTGAATACTAAACAGCATCTCGAAACGCTGGGTTAACTTATGAACGAAAATCACAATACTCAGTTGGCACGATCTCTGAGCGCAAAATCCCAGAACTGCTGATAGTTTTAAAATATTTGAAATAGATTTTGGCCTCTTTAAGAGAGTCGGAAGTTTTTAATGCATCTAAATATATTTTATGTCAAAATATATTCGAAAGGCTACACTCTCTTAAACGTTTTCTACTCCTGGCCAGTTCCACTAAGCTCTCATCCTCTGATGAATCATCGAACCATAACGCCATTGTACTTATTTCACCAAGTTTTTATAAACTCGCCTTTTTTTACTTTATTTGCACAGATTTACATAGATATAAGCCGATGTTCAGATATGGAAACTTTTGTTGCGGCCACTCGAAGCTTGTGGAGGAGAGAGCGACGAGGAAAGCGGACGGGTACCGCGTTGTCCGTACTCGGGCAACACGTTTTGTGCTCTCATTCGTCTGAGTAATTCAAGTTGGAGGTTGTTAGAGGAATGTTAATCCCTGCCTTTTTAGGTCCCTAAAATCCCGGGACTCTTTGCAAATAATCCCAGGATTTTCGGCATTTGTAATTTGTAAGACCAGGTGGAGAAGGACTTGGCTTCATTTGGCATTTAGAGTTGCCGTCACTTAGCACAGAAGAAGAAGAATTTGCACTGATGGCAATAATAGAAACTCCTTTTATTGACCAGTATTGGCTATATTTCCTTTTTTTTATTTAATAACTAATATTTTTTTATAAATTTCCAGCTCATTATACATATGGGTGTTTCCATACAGCCGTACGCGACATTCGTACGCTTATAGAGTAACGTAATCTATCAAAAATAGAAGTTACTGAAAAAAAAGATTACGGTTATGTTGCAACCAAAGGGTACTATGTTTGAGAAAAAAATAAGCAGCCTCGAAACTTTGGTGTGGAAAATATCCGTTCAAAACCAGATGATAATGTACGCGACAAAAAAAGAAGTGGTTTTAAGGCACATATACATATATGCGAAAGTCTGCGAATCATGAGAGTTTTTCTTTTCTTTGAAAATTCCTAAACTAAGCTAAATAATGTACCTTTACAATCCTTCCATTTTTTAATAGAAATTATCTCTGGTTAGGTTTTATTAAAAAAAAATTATAATAACGTACGCGACATAACGTACGCGACAGATTTTCCACCCATACAATATTATTACTAGTAACACATACTAAATTAAATTTTTTCAGTTCTTCTCTCCACCGTTTCGCGTTTTCAAAACCTTTTTCCGGCATCTGAATACGAAATTTAAAGTTATAAAGCCGTTTGAATTCATTTGCTTGCATTTTCGGTTTACATTTTCATGGAAACATGCATATATGTGAAAGTCTGCGAATCATGGGAGTTTTTCTTTTCTTTAAAAATTCCTAAAGTAAGCTAAATAATGTGCTTTTACAATCCTTTCATATTTTAAGGAAATTATCTCTGGCTAGTTTTATATAAAAAAAAAAATAACGTACGCGGCATAACGTACGTGACAATTTTTCTCGTAAGTAATAAAATGTATTTATTGAGAACTCTTCTCGCCATCGTTTCATTATTTTACAACTATTCTAAATAATTTAAATGGAAAATTTGCAATTAACACTGGTTTTGAGATATTTGATTGAAATTTTCGTGCTTACAATAACGTATGCGACAAACTTTAAAGGGTAATAAATTTTTTTTTTACTTCGGTTGGAAAGAAAATTTTACTGTATATCTTTAGCTGGAAGAATTCTCGCTCAAGAATTGTAATCTGCATTACCTGCGACAGCCAATATAAAATGACATAGACAAACAATGTTTTTGCATAACGTACGCGACATTAGAATACTATCAGAAGCAAATCAAAAAATTACCGCGCCTCTAACTTCTCGTTTTTCTAATTTTTATAGTTAGTTGTTATTGCAAATTTGATTTTAAGATGTAATTGTAATGTTTCAAATCTCTTAATTTAGTTAATAGAAAAGAGAAAATAGTTCATTTCATTAGGGAAAACTTAGTCGAAGAGACATTCAGTTTTACTCTTCCATTTTTGAGTTTTAAAATTCCAATAAGCTGAAATGCTTCTATAATATAAAAATTCGAGTATTTTTCTCTTATTAATTCGTCTTAAAACCCATTTTCAGTTGTTTTTATTTTTTCAGTCCTAGTTCACATTTTCATGGAAACACCCATATAACACCGTGCGATAGTATATTTTACTCTAACGTCAGTAATTGAAAAATTATTTTAAAAATTCAGTGAAATGTTCTTAGAGAAGAAATATGGTGCATAAGGACTGGTAAGTATAGAAAATGTAATTTTAAAATTTTATCCTTGAAATTTCGCAATATTTGTTTTTGAAAAAATTATATGTTAAAAAGTTTGAAATTTTGATGACAGCTTTTTTAAGTTTGATTCATTTTTTTGAAACTTGTATAAGATTTGAAACTTTTACTTATGTGCACGGTGACCATATTTATGCGAGCCGAATACGGGACAAAAAAAAATTTTGCTAATTTTTTCCATAAAAGCTAACAGATCTTAGCAACTTCTTAAATGATCTTAGATGTATATATTAGCCCTGACACACCATCCTTATAGTAACATCACAAATTTTTAGGAAATCTTTCTGGAGATCTTTACTCAACAAAATTTTTTACAAAAGTTTCGTTAAATTTTAGTACGATAAAGTGCTAGTTTTAAGTAGCTAGGACTTACCGTTCATTTTTGGCATTTTTTTTTTGTCGAGGGTGCTACGCATGTTTTTCATACAAAGTTAGTATGTTCGACAATTTTAGTGCGCTACAAAACAGCAACCAATTTTTTTTCTACAGGTTCTGATTAAAAAGTTTGACATTTTGGTGAAAATTTGCAGAATTAATTATCATAGTTTTTGCGCAAAGTTCGAAATTTTGATTTATATGGTTTTTATTAGGAAAACAGTTTTACTTAAAAATAATAATAAATATTAGATAAACAAGAGAAAACCTTGCTAAAATGTAGAATCCTAAATTATATTTTGATCACTGTATGTGTTCCTCGATTCGAAGCATAGGCATTCAGATTAGAAAATAATAACTGTTTATGGAGAAAGTTACGATCATATTCCAACATCATTTAAAACTGGTTCATAGACATGCAATTTTAATGAGATTTGAAGGCGTCGAAATACCGAACCCCGAATACGGGACAAATACAGGGCATTAAGAGAAATACATAATATTTGGCGTCCCGTATAAAATAAATTAATTGACAGGACAATTGGTAAAAAAAGAGGACTGTCCCGTATAATACAGGACGGATGGTCACCGTACTTATGTGGGCGGTCTTATTTTTTGGTGAAACTGTAGTACACTTTCCAACTTTCCAGTATTTACGGAAATGCCATAGTTTTTGAGATTTTCGAAAATACCATTATATGGGAGGTGGGCGTGGCTACCATTCGATATCGCCCACTTTCAATACCAATCTACCTTGGACGAAAGGCAAGCTATGTACCAAGTTCCGTTGCGATATCTCCCGTTTTACTCAAGTTATCATGTGCACGGAATAAGGGACATACAGACAAGGCTTAATCGATTTCCCTTTTCATTCTGAGCATTTTGGTATATATATATATTTCTATAACTCTCTCGCTCTCTTTAAGCTCTTATAAACAACCGTTAAGTGAACAAAGTTAATACATACACCCCTGTACACAAGTGCGCTCGGATATAAATATACGATCATATTACAATTTACATATATCCATTTGCATCAAAAACAAAAATAAAGGATTTTTAAAAATTGTCTAATATGTTAATTTGCATATATCGTATTATAAGCAGACATACAGAAGTACTAAATACTTTATATTCATTCAACACAAACGATTAACGAAAGACCGCTCTTCGAAAAACATGCATTACAGCTTGCATCAAATAAATCATTGTTTTACCTCGCACACAAATATAGTGAGTACACTGGCGCCAGTTTGAAGTGAGGCACATTTACATCCAACTCGGTTATAATGTGTCTAAGGAAAAGTTCCTGATGTGTTTCTGGAAATTCCAAGACGGCAGGCAAAATTGCTTCTTGTCCCTGACTCTCTGAGCCGCTCGCAGTTTTCGGCGACCTGTGAAAATGGATGGGATAGATGGAACAATAAGTAACAAACAATCCGACAAAATTGTAAACACTTTAAGAGAAAAGTAACGTTTGATTATTGTTAAAACTATGAATTTGTGAGAAATGTGGTTTTAGCAATTAAACGCAACGAAGACTTCACGAGTGATTTGAGGTTGGCAAATAACACAACTCATTCCGTTAATTGCAACACAAAAGTATGTAACTAAAACAAAATTTGCAGAGTTGATACAAATTGAAAACAAAAAGAAACTAGAATCGCGTGCAAAGATATGCATGTAATGTTAGGCAATCTTAAGTTTTACTTTGCAGAACTCAGCTTCAGTGTTTTGCTACTACTCCATTTTTGCTAGCTATTCCAAAGTTTGAGAAAAACGACAATTGAAAATATTTTAACGATAATGTTAATATGCAATTAGTCTCCAATTACCTTTCCTGGCTGTTCGAGCCGCCAGACTTCAAGCTTGAAATTGACTTAGTTTCATTTTCCAAGTTGCCCTCAATGCTTTGGTCGTCAAAGGTTGTGCTGCCAGAGTGACTTTGATGGTCGTTGGTACGCGATTTGCTCTCATCTTGGTCGCGCGAGCCCAACGAATGCTCGGTGATACTTAAACCTGCAACACCATCTCCACTGTGGTGACTGGTACCTCGACTTTCATTCTGGTGTACCTAAAAAGTTAAAATCAATTGTATTAGCTGATTCTGAATAACTAATAAGGAAAACTTACAGAGCTTAATGCGCCATCCTCATCTTTCCATAACCCAGGCGAAGTTGGCGAGCGACTGCCGAATCCAATTGTTGTCCCCAGCGGATATATATTTTGACAGCGGATTACGTTTGAACCGTTTTTTTACGTGTACGTGTTTGGGTTTTGTACGTGTTACGTTAAATAGTTTATCAAAGTGTTTTGTGATGTGTAAGTTATGATTGTGAGACAATGTGCGAGGAGTTCGAAGATGATTAATAAGAAATCAAACAATAATTTAAACAATAATAAAAGGTTTATAAGTAAAATTAAAGGGAATAGTTATGAATTTTAAAATGAACAAGCACATGACACAAAACAGAATAAAGCCATGTTTCGAGGTATTTGCAAACTCCATTGTTTAATTGATGCCCACAAAGTTAAACATCAATAAGGAATTTACACAAAACATCAAACAATCGTAGTTTACTGGTCTCTAAATTGCTCACCTTTCGTAAAGACAAGCCGAATCCAATTGAGATTGTGATAATGCCAGGTTGTAACGCCCATCCGTTGGCGAATCCACAAATCTATATGAAGCCACGCGTCCAAACATCACGACAGAACCGTTCTGAAGAAAACATGTAAAAAGAAGTTATTATTTTATTTAGATTACCAATTATACATTTTCTTCAGTCGATAATTTGTAAATGAGTAACTGGTCATTTATGTACATTTAAATACGAGTATGGTGGTTGCATTTCCCAATTAGATTTTGTTCTTTTCAACTTCCGCTATGTACCAATTCACATTACAGACTAAATGAGGGGCGTTTAAAATCAAACACTGCGAACGTTCGCGTCACTAATGATGTTGCATCAACAAATCGACAGGTCAACAAAGCAAGGCATCACACAAAACAAACATGAAACGAGCATAATTCGACCACGATAGTTGATGCTGGCTTACTGATTTCGTAAAACAGCTCGCGCATACCTACACATAGCAAACACACATTTAAGTAAATATGTCACTTATGTTCATACTTAAATACAAATCTAAACCACTGTATATGTACATACTTATGTATGTCTCTACGCCCCTTTAAATTTACCAGTACGATTGAGCAAATTGTTCCATATTATTAGCTTTTATGTACGAATTAAAAATACTTCGGTTTTATGTACCAACGATCACATGAACATGTACATATGTGAACAAGAGTGCCATCATGCCGGGTTCTGTAATATTTACATAAGTATGTATTTACGTAAAAATTCATTCGCTTTCGGTAGTGTGTTTACGCTCAGTTGTGTTGCGGATCTGCATTTAAATCCTAGAAATATCAAACATTTCATGAAAAGATTTTTTTATGCGGTACGAGGATTAGAAAATACTATGTACCTATCTGTATATCGAAGCAAATAAAACACCTCTTTGAGGGTAAATTTTCGAGTAACGACAGCCGAACTGAAACACAAAAGTTATGACGTTCCAGTGGCGGATACAGGATATTATTTGGGGAGGGGCGTTTGAGATCGACTTGTCGAATAACGTTAAATTACAGGTATCTAACTTGATTCACAGCGGAGTGACCAATCGAAGATATATGACTACAAGCATCCAACCTGCTTGAACCCTCATTTATTTTTCACACAAATAGAGGTTCTAGTAATTTTTATGAAGTCCGGATTAAAATTTTTTGTGATATAATTTTACTTTAAATAAGTTTCATGTTGTGAATTTGGCGCAAGGTCCATTTACAGAGTCCCATGTAATAAAACAATTATACTATTTTGTAAAAAACCACAAGTTAAAAAGTTATGCTCTGGGTTTATTAAAGCAGTAAATATTTGAGTATATTACATAAATACTTATGTTTTACTTATAGTATTTGTCAAATGAGGGATGTAGTTAAGTAACTTAACATCTTATTCGGAAATTTGATTATAATAATTTAAATAGCAATCTCAATTTTGCGCTCCGTTCAGTGTCAATTTCAATATCTAAGGGCCAGTTTCAGTGGCAGTTTAAACTAAGATTACGTAAACTGAATTTAAAATGAACAGCTGACTGAAATTTGATTGATTAAACCACGACCGAGCACTGAAAAACTGGCCCTAAGTGTACGTGTAAAAGTGCTAGACCTATCAGTCTTTTTTCATTCATGGTACCATGTTTTTAACCGGCGAAGGGTAACTTCTTTCTGAAGTAGCGTCACTAGCTAGAAGTGTAGCCAGAATGCGGAGAAGTTTGTTAATCAACGGAAAAGCATATTTGCGTCCCATTTACCAAGAACTTCTGCTGCTGATTTCAGGTATGGCTTTTCGCTTAACTAATTTGTTTATCGTTTTGACCACACTTTATACTCTCCTTCCAAACTGATAGCGTCTTTTTGTAGCGTTTATAATCCTAATTATATATCTATGGAAGTAATACTTCAACTCAAAAATGTCTATGTAATGTATATTTCGGCAATCTTTCTCGGTGATCGAGCTAAATATTATGCAATATATATATAAATATTACCTTTCGATAATAATCTTCGGCGCATGATGCACGATAATTAGCCCGAACATTTTTATATAATTGCTTAGCGATATCGGTAACTAACGCGGCGAGCGCCTTTTCTACGCATTTTGCTGTTATCCCCCTATTTCTGGTTACACATTTGAATGTGAAATTTTCTACTTTCACCGCGGAAATAGACAAAAATAGGTCAAAAAGTTTGATTCCACATGCATACATATAGTTCTTATCATAACTTTACGACAATCACATATTGACAAGATTTCACCATGTATTTTAAAATTTTTTAATTTTAATTATTGTTTTTTAAAGGCATAGCATATTTTTAACAGAAACCATTTTAATCCAAGTATCAATCCTTGTCAAAATAAAAAAAGAAATCAACAAACTTTGTAAAAATTTCAAGCTTTTTAATTAGGTTTTTTAGGAACATTTTGAGTATGCAGTTTTGTAACCCAATTTCAAGTACCATTGATTATTGGGATTTTTTTCATCGAAGGTGTTGCTCAATTTCTCCGTATAACAAAAAAATCTTCGATAATTTTGTATGGAATAAAATAGCTAACATGGTCAACAAAAAAAAATGCCAAAAATCAGTTACTTTAAACTTTCAGCAAAATTGAATGGGCTAAAAAACCGCTTACATAAAATATTTGTTAAAAATCGGATTAAAAAGTTCGAAATTTTTACGAAAGCAGACAAAGACAAATGGTCAAATCTTGTCAAAATGTAAATACCGTAAAGCTATGTTCCTTTTCCTTTTTATTTTTGATTTACTTTTGGATTTGAAGGTTTTTGGAAAATAGTCATGACTCATGAGATAGCATTTCTCGAACAAAAAGGGCCAATGAGAAGCGGTTTCTTGGTCTTTTGGAATCCATCGGTAATTATGAACATTTGGAGAAGGTGAAGGAATCAAACAAATAAGAAACGTCTCCAAGTTCATTATGTGGCTTCTGAAATACAAAATTGAGCCGTTCAGTGCACACGTCGATTAACTCCACTTTTTGAAAAATCTTAAATTTAAGTGTCAAAGCACTTGGTATAGCCATAACTTATGACGTTTATAATAACTTTATATAACATACAATAGTACATAATATTTATAACACTATTTATTTGATTTTATAATATAAATGGAACTTTGAAAGATAATGTACATTATTTGATCGCATATCCCAACTTTTTGTTGATGGATTTAATCAATTTGTGCAATGATTCAGCGCATATTGAGCAGACTGTTTTCTTTTGCGTTATGTTTTATTCGACAAGGACTTTGGAAAATGGGAAATCCACAAACGATTCTTGGAGTTTGTGGATTTCACCGTCGAAGCAAGCGAAGCTATCGCTGAGCGGATTTTTATGGAATTATCAGGAGCTCACGCATTTAATAGATGAAATCATTCGCCTCAAAGCTTTCCATATAGCAATTTTGGGATTCGATTCGCTAACACCATTACGACTGCTAAATAAATTTAAAGAAATTAAGACGAAAGAATATTTCCTAACATCTGCATTAGGAATATTTTACACTATTCCGGTCAGTGTGGATGAAGGGGAGCGTTTGTTCCAGTGATGCCAACCGGGGGAGAGTTCCTCGATTTTGTTGGAATTTGAATTTATCGAGGAAATCGGGGAATAGCTTTATATTTTGCGGGAATTTAAAATACAAACGATTTTGATCGGAACATTCCTATAGAGAATAAACTTAGAACTTGTAATAAAAATCACTCATTACGATGTTAATAAAAGTAAGTATTTATCAATGTATAGAGAATTTTTCCAAAATTAATTAAAAAACAAGTAAGAAAGTTTAAGTTCGGGCGGAGCCGAACATTAAATACCCGGCGCAATTATTAAATATATGTTTTCCACCTTTCCGAAAGCTACCGCTACACGATAAGCCGGGGTGTATAAATTTTAAGTAAATTAGCGTCCTTAAATTTCGAAATATTGCAGTTTCAAGCATTTCTGAAATATACNCTTTTCGTATTTCTGAAAATTACCGTTATATGGGAGGTAGGCGTGGTTATTGTCCGATTTCGCCCATTTTCAATACCATCCGTCCTATGCCCAAAAGAAGTCCACGTACCAAGTTTCGTTACGATATCTCAATTTTTACTCGAGTTATCGTGTGCACAGACGGACAGACGGACGGACGGACGGACGGACGGACAGACAGTCACCGCTTAATCGATTTCTCTTTTCATTCTGATCATTTATGTATACATTTGTCTATATCTATCTCGATTCGTTTTGCCTGTTACAAACAACCGTTATGTGAACAAAGTTATAATACCCTTGTGCACAAGTGCGCTCGGGTATAAAAAACTGCAATCAGAAACAAAACAACTATTTAATAAAACCTCTCTTGATTTTAGTGTGGCTTGTAGACAATTGCAAAAATTTAATCAAGAAATATATGTTTCTAAGTAGGGTTTGAAATTGCGTGACTATTTTCAATGCATTTGCTATTGCTTAGCAGACAGTAAAAGCGAAAAGAGAAGTGAAATCATTTGCGTTTGCTTACAACGCAATTTGTTTCTACTTAGACAGTCAGCCGAAGCAACCAACCAGTTTAGAAGATTTTGCTGTTGCTGCAAGCAGTAAGTTTGGTGTATGTATTCTCATTTTTGCTTTTACTTTTTTCCTTGCTGCGTTATTCCCCATATTAGGAGATCCGACAAAGGCACGACCTTCATCCATCTGTTTAATGGACGAAATCTACTTTGTATGAAATTTAACGTGTTAGGAAATATTGCGCCAGGATATTTTTAATTAAATATTGAAAAATTATTAATATTTTTTATACCCGAGCGCGCTTGTGCACAAGGGTATTATAACTTTGTTCACATAACGGTTGTTTGTAACAGGCAAAACGAATGGAGATAGATATATGTAGACAAATGTATACATAAATGATCAGAATGACAAGTAATTTTTAGCAAAAAAAAACTGTCTGTCCGTCCGTCNATTTTTTATACCCGAGCGCGCTTGTGCACAAGGGTATTATAACTTTGTTCACATAACGGTTGTTTGTAACAGGCAAAACGAATGGAGATAGATATATGTAGACAAATGTATACATAAATGATCAGAATG